ATCATTAAAGAAATCCTTTATTTATAACATGTACATGAAAAATCTAAAAGATTTGGACACAACTATGGGACACGGTCGTGCAGCAGCGAGCAACAGTTAAAGGAAACTCAAGGTTGTAAATGTGTGAAATTGTATAGGGCCCCATTCCTGTATTTTGCCTGGGGCCCCCAAATCACTCGCACAGGACAAAGGACTGCATTAGGATTACGTAAATAGATGAATAAAATTAGCCTTTTGAACCAGCTCAATCTCTCCGTAAATCATGTGACTGTAAAATACTTCACTGACAGAGAGAAACAGATGAGAACTTTATACTTAAAACACCAAGCTGCTTTATCTGGATCCTGCAATAGACTGTGTACAGTATATTCACTCCAGAGGTGCTGTGGTTTTGCTGCGTGGAGGCTGCATCAAACACCAGCGAGTTGAGATGCTAACCGTGGATCAGGGTATTCTGTGAAATAATGCCCACAGTTCATGGTGACTCATGAGCGCGTACGGCTAACACAAATTTAACTATATAGGGCTAGATGACAACACTATGAAAAAAAACTATAGTTTTATTTCTTGATCTTGTCATCTGTATCTTGTCTTGTTTTCCAGTAAAAATATCTAAACATGCAGACATGTTTTTAAGGATTATTTTCCTTTTCTTTTCTTTTCTTTTTTTCTTGCTGCCTGCCTGGGTGCTTTTAAATTGACCAGAAGTGACTGAGAAGTCATTTACAATGTTACAAAAGATTTCTAATATATTCTGTTCTTTTGGACTTTTTTTCTACTCAAAGAATCCATAAAAATTCATCACAGTTTCAACATTTATGATAATAAGAAATGTTACTTAAGCACCAAATAAAATTAGGCTAATTTGTATCTTTAATTAAATAAAATGTATAAGGAAATGCTAGTTCTAGTGTTATTGTTATTTGGATGAGATGAAAATTCTCAAAAAAAACCTGTACTGATATTTATCGTTTTCCATCTTGTGCTTTTACACTCAATGATTTATTCCTGTATTCGACTCAAGGTTCGTTAATGGTACCTTCTGTTTTTTCTTTTCTGAAGCAAAACTTTAACAGTTTTTCGATTTTCACATAAGGTCTCTTGGTGTGGTGACACTACTTTTTATTTATTTAAAGGTCAATTGAAAAGTGCTTTTCATCATGGCAGCTTATTTCAATGGCAGGAAAATTGCTGTGCTAAATATATAACACGAATATTGAGTTACATTCATAAATGAATGAAAGTGGCATGTTAGAGGAGAAAAGGGGCAGATAGTCAAACAATAACCGTCACATTAGCAGTCCGGTGCCACAACTGCCTCAAGGTGCCTTTTCAAATGACGACCATGTCAAGATGAATGAACAATAACCAAGCAAAACTGTGAAAACATTTCAAAGGATAATCAGAACAGTACACTCATGTGGTTACCATGGCCATCTGTGCTGCATCACAGATTCAACATTATGAACAGATAGCATTATTATGCTTTGTTGTTTTATAACATTTGGTATTGCATCAATTGCAGGACTGTGCAACATTCAGAATTAAGACAGTTTGTTACATTCTAGCAATGTAGCAAAAAAAAAAAAAAAGAATTGTAAAGGAAAGTTTAAATGATGCATTTTATTTTCACTATGATTTACTCATAAACAGGTCAACATACAAACAACATAGTGGGGTATAGGGCTGTCAAAATGGCTGAAAAACTCAATTCTATTATTATATTCTAATTTAAAAGGCATAATTTCAGTTAGGGTGAAGAAAAGTTTTTGGCTTCTCTCCTGAGGCCACAAGAGGGTGCATCGAGCTAAATATGACTAATGCACGTTTATTCAAAGCATAAGATAACATGATTATCTGTGAGAAAAAAAAAATTGCATAACGTTTAAAATAATGTTTCTAAACCAATTATAACTAATTAAGTTGCTTAAACAACTATACACAAAACAGCATCATGTCTGCATGCATAGTTTAATACAAAGGGCGGAAAGCCAATCACACAGAGTACATTTTTTATTTAAAAACACGAGTTGCAGTGGGATGGGGAAAAAACCCCGTCATAAAGTCTCTATATGTTTTTTTTCAATGCTAAACTTGCATTAATTTTACATGGCTCTCTAAACACTTTTGTGCGAGATGCGAGTGCAACGGTGATAGATGTCCCTCTAGAAAATGCGCGTGTTATATGTGTTCTGTGTGAAACGGTTTCAGTTTTGATGTAAACGATCTTCTCTGCATTGATGTTCTCTTTTTCCGCAATATTTTGAATGAACAACGCAGCAGCGCCGCATCTAGTGGCTTCAACTGGACAGGCTAACAAAAACATTATATTGCAACGACACTTACATCGTCATCGCATCTCGTGCGCCACTGAGAAGGCTGCCTCCTTAATGCACACCTACAATTTGAATGCAACATTTTTGCGTTTGAATGTGGATTTTTATTTTAAATTCAACGAATATTCAAAAAAAAATTATGTTTTACTAATCTTTTGTCATTCGACTAACATACTGAAGTACATGTAAAATACTTATAATTTCAACTGTAGTGTGTTATTTGATAGTACACTTAAAGTTAATATATTTACTACATTTCAACTACATTACAAACATGACGTTACAAATATATTTAAATACATGACAGTTTTAACAGCAATTATATTCAAATATATTCAAGTTTACATATTAATAACATATACATGTAAAGATGTATTTCAGTTCAGCTTAGCATTTAATATAATTTGTAATCTTAACACATTTTTAATTGCAATTAACATGCAATTAAGTGTTCAAACATTACATTCAGTTTGCTAAAGTACATTCTAAAGTGTACTTTTTTGATAAGGGAGGAAAGCGATATCTTTACCATTATTAATGACATAATGGGCAGATGAACTTATGAATATCTGGATGACTACTGGATGACTTTGTGTCCAACAGTCGCTGGATTTGCCAGTTTGTGTAGTTCATGCTGCTTTATTACTGTGATGTTGCCGATTTCAATTAACCTGCTCCTGAATCTCATTTCAGACATCAAACATCTACTTCCTGACTAACTTATCACTATTTGACAGAATATGCAATGATGGGAAGTCAGGCTTGAGGGATCAATCAAATCAAGACAATCCAGCGATAACTGAAAAAAAAAATCACCATTTACTAACCATCATTTTAAATCTGCGTAACATGTGCAGTCCGACTTTCAATATCAAAGCTCTTTAAGGTCAGAAAGGACTCCAGGAAATATATGACTACTGCAGTAATCCAATTTATGGCAAAGTATACAATATTCAGTAAACAGCAATTTCAATTTTGGTCTGTTCCTCACTCAAAGCTCTCAAATGACACTCTGCTTAACATCTTTTGTGTTTGAGAGAGCAGAGAAAGTGTTACAGGTTTGGAACATGAGGGTGCGTGAATGAATTTTGGGTGAACTATTCCTTTTAGGAAGTAGTGACACTGATACTCACCTGATTACAGTCTTTCTGTGTTTTCCACCATTGTGCTCTTTATTGAAGATGACTGTGCATTCTGTCATAAGAAAACATAACATCTCTGCCCTCTTGGAGTTACACCAGCCTCCCTGACACTGTAAATCTGTCATTACACTAATGCATTCCCCTACACCAGATTCAATAACCCAGACTTTTTTTTTTATCCGCCTCCACTTTCAACTTTTTTGCCTTTAGAACAAGGTCAGAGGTCAAACGAAACAAGCACTTAGAGCTCACTGCCAAAGGAGTTGAGAGATTTAGAATCATTGAGCTAATTACAGAGCGTTGCTGAAAACACACACACACACACACACACAATTAAAAAGAGAGAGGAAAAAAATCTAATGCTTCTGGGTAATTATTAGATGTTACTATATCTGTGGATTTAAGAGTTGGCAAATGCTTCAAGTTAACTTGAATTTATATTTAATCTGTTGTTCACTGAGACACTTTACTCTGATTCAGAAGTTTTCCTTTTTAACAGGACTTGTGTTTCAGCTTGTGCTTCTGAATTCGAGGAATATTTGGTTGCTAGGTTAAAATATTTTGGTTGGTTACTAGGTGGTTTCTTACTGGTCCAAGTCAAAAGAGCTCACCCTTAAGTCCTTATGATATTCTGTTCTGTAGATATGGCTTGAATCAATGTAAAATCAATGTAAAGCCTGTGGAAAATATCAACTACTTATGGCTATTATCAATTTATGATATTTTAGTACATAAGCAAAAGAAATATGTGAAAAATCACTTAATTTCAGCATCTAGTTTTTGTGTACGTAGATGTTACGTATCTGGTCCATGAACTTCCATCTGCTAGCCATCAGAGGTCACCCTTTCCATTTTCATTGACTCTCGCACTACACACTGTTGCATATCACCCGGACTACATATCCCATCATTCATTACACTGATTGCACACAGCACTGACTGCACACAGCTGTTTCATATCACTTACTCACTATATAACACTCATTCTCACTCCTTTCTAACTGCCGAGTATTGTATGCGCTTATCGCCAGCAGTGATAGCTACTCTACAGAGCCCTCGTTAGCTGCCTAGCCTAGCCTAGCCTAGTCTTGCCTTGTCTGTTTTCTCGGTTGCTGATCTTTGCCTGTTTTCCTGGATTTATCCCTTTAGTCTCGCCCTTTTGATTCTGTTCGCCGTTCGTTGACCTTTGCTAGCCCTAGTGTCCTTGTGTCTTGTCCGCCATATACCTGTTTGCCATTGTTCGACCCTGCCTGTGTTTCTGACATCTCTGCTTTAAATAAAGCTTGCACATGGATCTGCACGTCTCACGTCTCGTCAGCCCCGTAACAGTAGTGATGAAAAAAGCAGAAAGTGTCTCTACTGTACTCACTCTACCTATATATTTTCTGAATGTATGTAAGCGGTAGGATGTTTTAGAAAGGAACATTTAAAAGTAAAACAATAATCAGGGAGAATAAATAAATTATGAATCATTAATTGCTTTTGTATGAATAATATGTAATCAATAAAAAAGTAACTGTAGTCTGATTAACAAGTATACTTAACTTTTGGAATCTGATTAGATAATCCAGATTACATGTAATCAGTTACTACCCAGCTCTGTTCGTTCATTAACCAACTCTTCATTACCACATTCAATGTTATGGAAAAGAACCATCACAGAAATTAACAAATTTATAAATTGTAAGAAATAAAATCTATAAAGCTCACATAAAATTTAAGACTACAAAACATTACGTAACTGTAAGAGTAAATAAACAAACGATGTGCTTGTTTGTAAGGAAGGTTGGGAATTATTAACAAATTTCTTTATCCATTGCTGCTTTTACATGACAAAAGTACGAACGACCCCAACCCAAAGACTTGGGAGGTGAACTAATAATTTCTGTTTCCTGCGAGTGCCGATATACAGCCATATCTCATGGCTACGAGTGTAATATTGTGTTTATACAACAGTTCGATGGCAGAAGTGTGTAAAAACATAAGAAAAAAAACCCTCTTTTGTGCAGAACTACTTCCGCCATGGAATCTGAAATTGTGCATTTAAACCTCAAATCTGATATTGCTCATATATACACTACCGTATTTTTGTCTGAAAACAGACAGTGCTCTGTGGCCACATTTCTTTACACCAAATAATGCTCTTTTTGGCAGCATCATATGACCCCTTTAACAAACACTACAACAAAAGTGGTAACTGGCATTTGTTGAAATTGCTATTTAAAATTTCAGAGAGAAGCATAATGACAGTGAATGAGGCTATTAGGAGCTCCATTTTTGAGAAACTCTGCTACGAGTGCCTTATTAATTTTACAGTGTAATAAAATTATGCTCACACAGATTTCAGAGTGTAAAACTAATACAAATTTTTGTCAAATATTAAAATCTTTTTAAAGTAAACTGCTCAAAGAGATCTCAGGATCTCAGGACGGTTATAGTCTACCACCTTGACATTTTTAATTTTAAAGGGGTCATATGATGCGATATCAATTTTTGATGCATCACTCTTGGTGCATAAATAAGATCTGTAAAGTTGCAAAGACTAAAGTCTCAAATCGGTAGCTTAGTGTCTTGTGTTCTGGGCTGGTAATCCTTCATATAAAGGGATTCATATTAAGGTCTGTTATCAACATTTGGCCCTTGATCATGACACTTCACTTCAGGTTGCTCTATATCAGGGTGTTCAGTCCTGCTCCTGGAGGGCTACCTTCCTGCCAAGGTAAGCTCTAGCCCTAATTAAACACACCTGAAGCAGCTAATTAAGGTCAAGAGGATCACTGGAAATCTCCAAGCAGGTGTGTTGGAGCTGAACTCTGCAGGATGTTGGCCCTCCAGGAGCAGGACTGAACAACTGTGATCACTATTGTCAGAATGTCAGTGGAGTACGGTTGAGACGCATGGTATCAACTGTACCCAGATTGGTGTCCTATTGCGTCACATGCTGTTTTGTTGTACAGTGTTATGATAATAGGTTAAAGTCCCATTTACACAAATGCTATGCAAATTATGATAAAAATGATATTTGTGATATGGGGCTTAGAGGAGAAACAATAATGTACAGTATATGTGGAAAATAATGTGTTTTTTTTAACCTTAAACCGCATAAACACATTTCAATACACCAAATACACAAAATAATGTTCTTTTTAGCAACATCATATGACCCCTTAAAGCCCCACAAAAACTTTGTGGGGCTTAAAAGAAAGTTTATTTAATTTGTGATAAAAGAGATGTATTCATTCAGTTTCATTATGAAAAGCATTTTAATGTATTTTTGGAGGACATTAAATAAATTCAATGTTTGAATAAATGAATAATTGAGTTACACTTGCACTAATGTTAAATGCAAAAAAAGCTCTCATTCAAACTTAATGACACATTTATTTCATGCTTCAAAGTTTCAGGGTCTCTTGATGAAGTTTTGAAATACACATTATTGTCCCTTTCTCAGAAAAACAGCTTTTTTAAGTAAGCCTTTTATTTCTGAAGGGGAAGGTCAATAGCCAATTAAATCACTGAGTGTTTTTCAGACTCTGTGGGTCACCTGGTCCTGACCTCTGAGAGTTCACATTTAAAAGCTCAATAGAATTTCTGTCATTAATTCAGCAACTTCCTGTAATGACTATAATTCTGCTTGATTTTAATGGTCAAGTCATAAGCTTGATTCATAATATAATAATCATTCAAATTAGTCTTTGCATTGATAAAACTGTAGCGCATTGCTGCCTCAGTTCTACATGTAATGCACTATAATGAGGTGTTTCTGAAATAGTATTAATCCCAAACTCACATTCATCCTGAAAGTACGTGGGGGGTTTGTTATTTGACCGACATTTATCATTCCACCCCACTGCTGTCGCCCTTTCCACTACTGGGGTGATGAGAGTCTCACAGCTGCAGCCCACACAGCAAACAAGCTCCTCACGCTGACTCATATAGCATGAACAAAACCTATGCCATTACTAATCTCATGCTTACAGTCTCAGCTTAAGCCACAAACATACAATGCACATTGTATACATCATACAGTATGCAGATGATAGAGTTTAAAGGGATAGTTCACCCAAAAATGAAAATGTGATGTTTATCTGCTTACCCCCAGGGCATCCAAGATGTAGGTGACTTTGTTTCTTCAGTAGAACACAAACGAAGATTTTTAACTCGAACCGTTGCAGTCTATCAGTCTTATAATGGAAGTGAATGGGCTCTACGGCTTACTGGGGGTAAGCAGATAAACATCACATTTTCATTTTTGGGTGAACTATCCCTTTAAATAAGTTTGGCGATCTTGATTTTGGATGTCTTAAAGCAATACTGCCACACAAAGCCAAAATGCAGTAAGTATACCAACACTGAAATGGCTTGCTGATTGATTGAATGATTGATTTGACATTCAGTTCCAAAATCTCATTTATAAAATGGATTGTTCCAATAGTTCCCCCCAAAAAAGAAAATTTGCTGATTTGTAGATTAGTTTGTTTCTTCACGGGAACGGGTTTGGAGAAATGTAGCATTACATCACTGTCTCAGCAATAAATGCTCTGCGGTGAATGGGTGCCGTCAGAATGAGAGTCCAAACAGCTGATAAAAACATCACAATAATCCACAAGTAATCCACACTAGGAACCTGCGTGGGATGGATTTTTCAGTCCTGCATCCACCCGCTCCTGCAGAAATATATGTTATCTTGTCCCGCTCCCACCCTCATAAAAGTAGCCTATATAGATTTTTTAAGTACATCCATGAAATGTACATGAAATAGTAAGTTCTGTGTCATCTAGCCACAACATCCAAGCCTAAACGCTCCCGCGTAATTAAAGCATTCACAAATACAGTACATTCACATTCGCCAAATACATACAAAGTTATGTCAAAATGCCCGTCTTGATGAGTATTCACGTAAACAGTCGATCTATACTAAACATTGTTGGTATATAGGCTATTAAGTGAATGTAAACAGTTGAGAAACAAAACTTATGTGTAACAGTTAGATCCGTGCATGAGGTCTTAAAGAGACTAAACCTGCTGCTATCTGTCATTAATGTTTATTCATACATTGAAGACTAACCAGTATTATTTTAAAGTTAAACAGACTATTCAGTTTCTGTGGTATGTCTGTACCTGAATATTACTGTTATACCTACCTGAAAAACCTAAAGCACAGTTAATTTTAGTTGTATCTTGTTATTGTATTTATTGTGCCATTGCTTGTCATTTATTTATTCTTATTTTATTACTGACCGTTTACTTGTTTACTTTTTTAGTTAAAGTAAACATACATCTTGGATGGTCTGAGGGTGTGTACATTTTCAGCAAATGTTTAGTTTTGGGGTGAACTGTTCTTTTAAAAACACTAGATGCAGACTAGTGCTAGAAAAAAAATATATGCCAGGTCTAGAGATGCGTTTGTTAAAAGTTGAACTTCTTTTATCTTGAGTGTTGCATTTTTAGACCGCTCTATCATGCACAAGATGCTGCAAAAGCGAGTCAAACACGTCAGTTTACATAGAAAAGCAATGGAAAAGCAAGCAGTGGGATGCTAACATGCATTCTATGTGAACAGCTCCTTAGTGATTTTATTGATGATTGATTTACTATAAAACATGAGAGTGAGCAAATAATAGGCTACTAAATGAGAACTATTCCATTAAAATGTAACATCATTTAAAAATGGGTGCCGTCAGAATGAGAGTCCAAACAGCTGATAAAAACATCACAATAATCCACAAGTAATCCACACTAGGAACCTGCGTGGGATGGATTTTTCAGTCCTGCATCCACCCGCTCCTGCAGAAATATATGTTATCTTGTCCCGCTCCCACCCTCATAAAAGTAGCCTATATAGATTTTTTAAGTACATCCATGAAATGTACATGAAATAGTAAGTTCTGTGTCATCTAGCCACAACATCCAAGCCTAAACGCTCCCGCGTAATTAAAGCATTCACAAATACAGTACATTCACATTCGCCAAATACATACAAAGTTATGTCAAAATGCCCGTCTTGATGAGTATTCACGTAAACAGTCGATCTATACTAAACATTGTTGGTATATAGGCTATTAAGTGAATGTAAACAGTTGAGAAACAAAACTTATGTGTAACAGTTAGATCCGTGCATGAGGTCTTAAAGAGACTAAACCTGCTGCTATCTGTCATTAATGTTTATTCATACATTGAAGACTAACCAGTATTATTTTAAAGTTAAACAGACTATTCAGTTTCTGTGGTATGTCTGTACCTGAATATTACTGTTATACCTACCTGAAAAACTTAAAGCACAGTTAATTTTAGTTGTATCTTGTTATTGTATTTATTGTGCCATTGCTTGTCATTTATCTATTCTTATTTTATTACTGACCGTTTACTTGTTTACTTTTTTAGTTAAAGTAAACATACATCTTGGATGGTCTGAGGGTGTGTACATTTTCAGCAAATGTTTAGTTTTGGGGTGAACTGTTCTTTTAAAAACACTAGATGCAGACTAGTGCTACAAAAAAAATATATGCCAGGTCTAGAGATGCGTTTGTTAAAAGTTGAACTTCTTTTATCTTGAGTGTTGCATTTTTAGATCGCTCTATCATGCACAAGATGCTGCAAA